TATACCCATATCTAGCCACTAAATGTAGACAATTGTGCTGTAGTATCAAATTATGCAAGATGAAAATAAATGCAGAGCTTTGCAGAGCCATGCAGAGAATTGTGCTTGCTTGATTTTGGAAACATTTTGTTGACCTGTAAAATCATGTTTCTTCTGTGAACAAAGTTGTCAGAACTAAATCATGTCCTGAAGCAATAGAAGATCCCCAAGATAGGAACCTCCCTTTTCCAAGTCAGAAGCAGTCCTGGTATTTTGTCTTGCTGTTGTAATTTGGCTTCATGTGTACTTTTACATGCCAGTTTGCCTATTAGCGTTTTGGCCAGCCTCTACTGCCTGGGAGCTAATGGGCATGTCTCCACAGACGGGTGCAAGCAGGCCTCAATTTTTCCATGGGGGGAAATACTGTTTAATAGTACCTTTTAAAATCATGCAATAACTTACACCTGGTTGGATGGAAGAAGAGACAGTACTATCATTATTTAGGACAGAAGCTGCAAATTATCTTTTGATGGACAGGTGCAAAAGAACACTGAAAAAGACTAAAGCTCCTCTGCCAAACTGGAAGCTGACTGGCTGAAGGCCAGCTCTGGTACAAAAGCTGTATCGCTTCATTAGGGAAGCGTTGCGCCCAAATGAACAAATCCTGCTGAGCATCAGGGCAGAGTGCCATACTAGTGTGCTTAAAGAGCTTCCAGGACAGAGCTGGCTGGTACCCCTCATGGTCAATTCTGAGTGTGAGGTTTGGTCAGTATGCACCCGTCCGTTAGATGTTTCTACCCAAAACCACCCTGAAATTACTATTTTAACAAAATAAATAGTAAAACTTCCCTTGTCCCCACAAATTTAGGTTTAATTTCTGAGTGATGCTAAAATGAAGGCTGAGAGAAATTAATCCTTTTGTGTATTCTCATTGTGAGTTAGTTAGGAATTTGTTGTGATTCCTTTCATAGCAGCTACATAGAAGCAGTTCTGCAGAACTTGTATGATTTTGATGGCAAACTAAGCCATTCTATTTCTGATAAGACATATTTTATGTAGGCTTCAAGTAAATCGTATTGTTCAAACAACTTAAACGTGATTTGGAAAGTTGGAAAGTTTCAGGATGAAGCTGGGAGAAGAATAAAGCAGTGGTATTTCCTTAGTACTAACTGTGCAAGAGGGAAAAACTACTGGTTTTAGAGCTAGCAACACCTGGCATTAAATTGAATCTTGATCTCTTAGAGCTTGTTCTGCCACACATGTAAAAGCTTAGCAAGTTATAAAGCAATTTTTTCCGTTCTACATCTTTTTCTGTAAAGAAAGAAATTCCACAACACAGCTATTATGTATTCATTGTAACCTATATTGCCAGCATTTCTTAATGAACGTCTTTGGTTGAAATGAGAAAAATAACAACTGCTTCTGGACTAAAGAGCTACGAATCCTCTCCACTAAAAGAAATCACAAAATGATAGAAAATTGTTCCAGAATTCATCTCAAGAGGTTATTCAGTCTGGTTTCTTGCCTCAGAGCATCTAAGATATTCCTGGCATATGTTTGTTTTACCTCTTCTTTACAGCTTTCAGTGATGGAGATTCTGTCACTGCTCAAGTCACTCAAGCTGTCCCTGCCATTAGAAAAAGGTGATAGTTTGGAGTCGGGTTTTTTTGCCCTCACCTCCTCTCATACTTTCATGTCCAATCTTAATTTTCCCGAGTTCAATATAAGCCTGCTCTTTCTTATCCCATCCACAGTGGTCACAGAGAGCAACATTCCCTTCTTTGGAACTCCTTTCAACATGACTTAAGGCCAATATTGTTGCTTTGTTCCTGGAAAAAACCTCTCCAGTCTTTCAGTTTTTCCTTCTAAATCAAGTTTTTCAAACCTCTGATTATTCTTGCTGCTCTCTCCTCTTGACTCTCTGAAATCAGTTCATCTTTCTTGAAATACGGTGGTCAAAACTGGACATAATATTCCAGCTGAGCAGAGTGGAAGGGTGCTCCATCCTGTTGTATACATGGTAACTCTGTTTATAAATCCTGTATGATATTTTCCTTTTTTATAAAAGAGTGAATTTGTTGTTCTTCCACTTTCCCCCATGTCAGCCTTAATGGTGGGACAGAACCTGAGAAGGATCCCATTAATGATAGAGAGTTTGGCTAACTTCTTCAAACGCTTTATATTCTTTCTCAGTTCTTCTGATTTTTCTCACTTAGAGCCTCTCTGACTTGTCTAAACGGAAGATTTTTGTGGTCAGACATGATGGTTTTGAAATGTGAAGGCATTAAGCTCTTGTACAGTTTTGGGTGGACTTACTCCATTGAAATGGACACAGAAGAGGGTTTCTGTATAGGACAGTGCTGAATACTGAGGTGATGCTCAGTAACCTCTTTTGTCCTTTGCAAGGACGGAGAAGGTTCACCTGCAGCATTTTATGGAGGTTCAGAAAAGCCTGTTGGACTGAACTGCGGGACTTGAGATGTCTTCCAGCTTAGTCAAGCTAGAATATGAAACTGAGGGTGTTTTCCAGTAATTTGGAAAAGGTGGAAAATCTGTTACCTGGTATACCGTATGGCTGCAGTTGGATGCCAGAGTAGAAGCTGGGAATGTTGATCTACCAATAGGTTAGTTATTCACATGGCACAAATGTGTATATATACCCAAGATAGTAGATTTAGACTTGGCACCATTTTTCAGACTGGGAGAGGTACCCCTTCCTGCCAAGTTGTTATGAACAGAAAGTGAGGCATGAGACACCACATATTTTTCAGAAGTGTGAAAAATTCTAAGCCTAACGAAGTGTGATGTGGACTGAAAACCGTGGAGAGTTCTGTGATGTGGTAGTTTCAGAAATAAGGTGCATGGCTCTAATTATTGACATGTATCAAATGTTGGAGTGCTGTTTACATAAGAAAATTTGAATCTGATAGTGGTGTTGCTACAGAGTTGTTTTCCGTTTTTTACTCATGATGCCTTGAATGAATCCAGTCCATTTATCTTAAACTTCATCTAAACCTTTAAAACATGTTGACGCTTAAAATGTAGAGAAAACTTTCCATGTGCTTTTTGTTTTTTCTTAAATGGTGCTGAAACATCTGTACCTCTCCCTTTTTTCCAACCACTAAACAGTCTCATTTTCAGTTGTTTTTAAGTTGCTTTACCTTTATCATGCCTTCGGAAGGTTCTCGACAGTCTCATCCAGAAATTTGAACTAAGCTGTGGTAGAATAAAAGCTAGACCAGCACTCCCCTAGTCATTCTCGCTGTATACATCAATGCTAGTTAATACATTTTACAGCATTAATGCTTCCAGTGCTTCTAAATTTTCTGTTTGTTGCCTTGTTTAACATATAATAGCTTGGAAGGTGGATGGATTGTGAGCTTCCAAAGTATTACAAAGTACCTTTCTAAACTCCTGGAGAATTTTTGAGAGGGGATAATATTTTTTCATTTTTTCAGTAAACTTTTTCATTTCCAAGAAAAGCAGTTCAGCCTACAAATTTATTGGTCAAGTGGGGGACCTTGATAGAATTTGTTGGTGAACTTTGAAATCATTTCAACATAATGTTTCTATAATTGCAACAGCTTCAGAAAATGATTTTCTTCAATTAATGGAAGACTTTGAAAGCTCTTTTGCTTCTAGCTGGGAAAAACAGAAAGATGACTCAGATGCATGTAGGTTTTACCAGGAGTCTGTCTGTTCTGTATCTAATGAACGCTGCTAGGAAGTCTACTGCCTATGGAAAATGAAATATTAGTGAGATGATGGAGTGCTGGCAGTTGAAATAATACCTGTTTTAGAAATAAGGCAGGGGAAGATGTATTGAGGTAGGAGTCATGGGACCGTAGCCTGGGTACTCAGTTGCTCTGAGTTGCTAAATGTCTGTGGATTCCACCGATGGTATTAACGTTGGTCTCTCCACTGAAATGCTGGAAACAACATTCATTGTAAGGCAAAATAAAATTGTCATGTGGATGTGCCAACTGAATTTGAAATCTATTCTGCTATAAGTTAAACACGTAATTTGACTGGTCTTAACTTTCCTGACACAGGTTCTTGGTCAAGTTATTCACTTGTGTAGGTAGAATAAGCAAGGATAAAATCAAAGAGCATTAATGACTGTGATAGCTATTAGCTGATATGATGAAACTATTCTCTTTAGATTGGTGGACTGCTGGCTGCTCTAAACAGCTGAAAGAGAAGCCCTCTCAACACAAAAATCTTCAGAAATAAATAGTGTTGTCAAATGTCATTGTGTGGCTGAGCTTTCCAATGTTTTCCTACAGTAGTGCAGAAATAGGATTGAAACCTGTTATTAACTTTTTCTATTAAGAGATATGTTTCTTTTTTTATTTGCATATCCACTTTCTCTTAAATCCTTTGATCAATTTTCTTCCTGTCTAATAACAATCTATTCTTGATGAATTAATTTTCCTGAATTTTCCCTATCAATTTTTAGAGGTTTTAGAGGTTTTCCCTATAAATTTTTAGAGGTTTTAGAGGTTTTTTACAGTTTTACTGTAAAGAACTCTTTCCCCTACTTCATTCTGTTAGGGTTTGTTTGGGTTTGTTGTTTTTTTTTTTTTAATTTGCTTTTCTCCAAGCATGGTTTTGTATCTGTTTCTAAATCAGTCTTCATTGTTAACACAATTTCTTTTTCCCTCTTCCACATACTCTTTTGGAATGAGGACAGAAATTTAGGTCTTGTTCATCTTTGCTCTCCAAATGTATGTATGTATTTGAGTGATGCTGCACAAAAATTTTTGCATGGTTTTGGGGAAGGAGGGACGGAGGGGAGATTGGGACTTGAAAGCATTAGTCAAGGCTCAGGCAGGGATTGTTGTGACTTTTGTACTGGTAATTATTTCTGAACTTTCTGAACTGCTTCAAAACATGATCACATTAATGTGTGCGTCATTGTGAGAGACAGAGAAATTTGTTTTTTCTAAATTCTTACATCTCCTTAGAAAAATGCTTTGGTGTTACATAATTGCCATTGTTCTTTTGCATGTTTTTCATAGCATCCTCCTGGGCAGTTGAGAAGGAAATACAGTTCCTGCTCCACTATTTTCCTGGATGACAGCACAGTCAGTCAACCAAACCTCAAGTATACCATCAAATGGTGGGTTTTTTTGTTTTTGTTGTTTTTTTTTTTTTTTTGCTAGAACCTACATTATATATATGTATTTATGTAGACATATTTCTGAACAATTACCAAGCAAGCTTCAAAGGTTTTAGTTTTTGAAGTAGTAAATTTATTTAATTCAATCATGCTCCAGAGGCAGTGAATAGGATGAGCAAAGGGTATTACTCTTATTTTAGGTCAATGCAGAATCAAACTCCCAATACTGCATATTTTAACAGAAAGCAGCAATTAAGGATCTCAAATTCCAGGAGCTGAAATCCTTGTGCTTCAATGTTCAATTAGGTACTTGCTTTGGATGAGTCCTCAAAACTTACTTGGGTACTTGTTTATTCAGAATTTTGGAATTATCTGAAATTGAAGAGTTCTTTTCTGTTCATGAGAAAATGCTCATTTGCTAAGCTTTCCTTCCAGTTTTCTGTTTGAAATAGAAATTAATTGCCTCCAGATTCATTTCCTTATTGAGTACAAGGGCACTGGCAGTTTATTACACAGCAGCGGGGAGCTTTGTATGTGGTGCGCACATGGGCTTACCCTTGGGTGACATCTCAGATGATCATTTCAGGTTTCACTGGTACCTTTTTAAGTTTGGAAGGAAACGAAATTGGTATTTATAGAGTACTGTTCTTTACATTTTGTACAGTAAGGGGAAGAAATGAGAGAACAAATGCTCAGGCATTTTATGCTGTTTGTTTATTATGATTGCTGATACACTCTCTTGAATTGTTTGTAGGATGGTTACCTTGGTGTACTCAAATGCAAAGATTTATCAAGACAAAACCTGTGCTACAGAGATACTTAGATGAGACAGACATATTCAGACTAACAGGTCCAAAGGAATTTGTAATGTTGGTGGTCACTAAAACATGTTCTTAATTTTTCTATTAAAGGAAAAAAGAGGGGAGTGGAAGAGGGATTTGCAGTCAGACACCTAATTTCTCATCAGCTATTTCTGCCTGAAAGATAGTCCTGTTTCTCCTCAAGTTTCTTTAATTAGTAACTTAAAAATAATTCAGATGAACACTGGAAAAAGATTTTTTTGGTTTTTTTTCCTCCTGGAAACTCATACTCTTCTGCTCTAAAATCCTTTGCATGCAGATTTTTGTAAGTGCAGCTTTTTGCGTGGGTTTCAGGTCGCTTCTTGCATCGGAACTGAGCCTGGTCGTGGAAAGGAGAAATGGGTTCAGTTGGCCACAGCAGCCGAGAAGCGTTTTCAGTGGGCCACGGTGGCCAGAAGCAGCCTTGTGAAAGAGGAGACAGAAAGACAAGCTGGGGGGGAGCAAGGTGGTGACGTCGGGGAGAGACTTGGGGTGCGTGGCGGGGGGCAGAGCTGGAGGGAGGAGAGGGCGCACGTCAGGCTGGAAGAGCTGGCGCTGGGTCCGGGGGGGAGGAGTTGTGCAGGGCTGGGGCCAGGCTGCCAGCGTGGGAAGGGTTGGAAGCTGCAAGGGGTCAGAGGGTTTGAGAAGGGGTTATGTGGGGTCAGAAACTGGACTTTGGCACATGAGGCCTCTGGGTGAGGAGTCTTTTCCTCCTCTTCTCTCCTGTCTGGCTGCACATTTAACAGATTTAAGGGTGTGGGGATTGCAGGATTATTGTTTTTGTAGTACAACTTCATTTCTTGCCCCCATCCTGGCAGTCTCTGCGGATAAATGACTATTGCACTTAGGTAAATCTATGAGGAATGTATTTTGGCCATCTCATTTATTTCTTCTGGGTCATGTTGTGTACCGGTGTGTTTAAAATACTAGCGCATCTACTGGAGATCTGCAGCATCGGTGGGGTGGCCAGGGTAGAGTGATGGAAAGCTTCATAAGCTTCTTTCCTGCACACTGAGTGCTAGGAATGAGCATATGAAAAGCAGAATGAAGCTTGGATCTGAGTTAATCTATCACAGCTCTGAAAGACCTTCGGATTCTGATATAGATTTCTAAATAGTAAGTATTTTCCTAAACTTAATTCGACATCTTCTTACAAAAGCAACCATATGGGCACCAAGCAGAGCTCTGCACATAGATTCTTGCATCAGCTTTCAGAAAGTAAACTGGAACTGCAAGTGTGTTCCTAGGGGCATAATTTAAAATTAAATTTTAGGACTAATTCATTTTGTGAATAGCTTTCAGTCAAATGAAATTCATTCATAAATGTGTTTTTTGTGTTCAGTGAGGGCTGTGTCCTTTAAATGTTCAGGGTACACAGTATCTCTTAATTCCTTAAATATGTATCCATACAAAAATACCAAATTTAAAAAGCATTTATGATCTAAAAACTTCTAATGCAGCCAAGTAAAAGCTATAATGCTCATACAAAGTTAGCAAAATATATTTACTTTCAACTAAGAAAAAATATTTTCCGCTACATGGTGGTTCAAAAAAAAACCAAAAAAAACCCAAACCACAGCCAAAGCTGAAATAATTTAAAATTCTACTAGTGGGGTAGCTCCAACATATTGTTTTCCTAACATGCCAGTTTTCATACATGTCAGTTTCCATGTAAAAATTCTGGAATAAAATTACAGAGCAACCAATTCACTCTTTTAAAAGGCCTTTTATGGAAAAGAAAGAGGGGAATTTTGCGTCAGTATAAGACATGAGCATCTTACAGTGAATCACCGACAAAACAAATTGTCAACAAATAGAATCGGTGAACTCCTTCCTCCTTCTCCTTTAGCTTTGACTGAGTTTTATGCTGCTGAAACAAGTAGCGAGGGTGCTGGTTCTGCTTTATCCTTCAATAAAGCTCTATCATGTGTAAAGCATGTGTCCTTCAATAAAGCTGGAGTCGTGAGTTGGAAACAGGAGAATAACCATGAGAAGCCATGTCTTAATTTTCTTCAGTCTCAAATGTGAATGAGATCAGTTAGTTGTATACATAATTAAAATCTTAGCATTCTATGAATATAAGGACGCATTTTGTCTTTGCGCAGAATATAAACAGACGTACTTGGGTGTGTGGTTGAGAACATGGGAAATGCATAATGCAGTAAGTTATTCAGGGAGTCGTCTTTCCAGAGTTAAAATAAGTAACTTGAAGCCATAAAACTGTAGGAGCCTGGTATGCGAGTAACTACATAGAAAGACAGCCAAAAGTTAATGGATTTAAATATAAAATCATAAGCCAACGGTGATTAAAACATTTCATGTTAGCCTGGCAGCATTAGCAAACAATAAAAGAGAATGTCCAATGCCTGTGATGCCTTATCTTCAACCTTGGAAGTCAGTAGGAGTTTTAGCATTGACTTTAGTAGGGTAGGGCATTAAATGGAAGGTAAGTGCAACTTGGTATGTGGAATATGAGTATTTTTGTAAGGTACTTCCATACTAGTGAAAAGGAGGCACTTGGAGTGTGCTGAAGAAGTATTATAAAATTGTCTAACAGGTTAGACAAAACAGCAGTTTTCCTGGTATCTAACAATGGACAGAAGAAAACAGGCTGTTGAGCATACTTTTTGTCATGCATTGTGCTAGGTTTTAACTTTGCATGTTAATATGACAAATAATACGATTTGACAGTCCTGAGATATTAACTCTGTATTTTTCTTTACAGTGTAGCTCTTGCAATATATTACCACATCAAAAACAGGTATGTGAATAATGAAATCTTGTACTGAAGATATCTTTAATCAAAACAAATGAACTGCCCAGACCCTAAAAATCCATGCTCTGTTTCTTTCAAAAAGTTTTTGGGTAGTAGTTTTCTTATTTCCCATGTTAGAAATGAGAAATGTATTCTTTTATTTCTTTATATATATATATATAAAAAATATTTCTATATAATGTATAAAATATTGCTTAGAAAAATAAAAATTAGAGGATTATGTACCATAAGAATCTGGAAGTACAGTTCAGCATTGAAAAACTGATGATTCAGTGTTTGGTTTTATGTGCACTGAGCACTTGTGCATTGTTACATATATTGCAATTACATATAGAGAAATCTGAATAGTGTCTTGCAGATTTATTTTTTTAGGCTACACCTTTATAAAGTTAACTGTGTAAATCAATGATCAGTTAATGTTAATGGATTTTGAAATAAAACCCATTAATTATACAGTAAGAGAGACATTGTGAGTAGATGAAATTCAAGATGCCTCAGAAACAGAGCAAGTCCTGGCTTATCTCTTCTGGTGTAGTATGTTTTAGATCTCTGCTCAGTCAAGTTGATTAAAATTGAGTAGAAAATAGGTTCTCTAAAAAGTAACTTGGTACATCAATTTGCAATTCAACATGAAGAAAACTCTTTTGTGCCTTAAATTCCATGTTCTCATGTTATATCACAGTATCATAAAATAATATTTCCTGACATCTCTAAGAAGAGATTGTATAAATACTTTAAGTGACTTTTGTGTCCGTGGCTTTTCAATGTGTCTTTTCAGACACATTTTGGCTTATATCTCAATCTAACAAGCCACTTACACGTTCTTTCTTCTGGACTGTAAGAAGTCCAACTAGAACAAAAGGAATTACTCATAAGTTTAAAGTTAAGCTGATACGTCATTCGGGACCATGTTTCAGGTCACTGGAACCCATCACACTTCTTGAAACAAGGCTGACATCTAAAGAGAAACCTTTAGAAGTGCACAAGGGCAGAAAGGCTTAGAGCTTGATCCCTGCTGAAAGCGCTTAGAAGACTTTCCAAGACGTCAGTGGGACTGAAACATGGCAATATGTAAAGCAAAAGTTGGAGTGAAATCTTTTCGCAAACTTTTAATCTCATTTCCCAAGAAATGGGGCATTAGTGATCATGCTTGGATCACTTGTTTATCCCTCTGTGGTTCCCTTTTTCCCCTTTCCTCCATTGTCCCTGGGTTAGTTTGGCTAACTAGTAAATTTTTACTACGCTTGACTAAATAATAGAGATCTCAGAGTGTGGTGGGTTGACCCTGGCTGGACACCAGGTGCCCACCAAAGCCACTCTATCACTCCCCT